CCAGCCCCTCACCAGCCCATTGCCTGTGTCCAAGGGTTATGCACATATGTATACAAGTTCATTGGTTGATCGCTTCCCACCCACCCTCCCCTGCCTTCCCTCTGAGGTTCAACAGACAGTCTGATTGTAGCTGTGCCTATCAATTATCATAATTTCTTTTCCCCCCTCTAATTATTTTATTATATGCTTTACTATTTTAGGGCTAATCTTTTAGTTTATGGTGTCCTGGTTACATATCCATACATTGATCTTAGTTTTACTTTTATTTTCCCATTGAACTCATAGGTATGTCTTAATTGCCCACATATATGTGATCCTACGCCAAATCATCATTTAATCAGCTCACTAAACCATTGATATCTCTCAAGAACAACCGGAATCAGAGTACTTTAATTTATTATGTTGAGGTTTTTTTTTATTGATTTCAGAGAGGAAGGGAGAGGGAGATAGAGAAACATCAGTGATGATAATCATTGATTCATTGCCTCCTGCACGTCCCCTACTGGGGATTTGAGCCCACAACCCGGGCATGTGCCCTGACTAGATTCCAACTGTGACCTCCTGGTTCATGAGTCAGTGCTCAACCATTGAGCCACACCAGCCAGGCTAATTTATTATATTGTTATAATTTTCATAGGAAATTAGTCTTTGTACTTGTCTGATTAAACTATTCGATAGCCTGCTTGTTTGCTTGTAAGGAGTTGTTCTTCTCTGTGCAAATATGGCAACCCCGAGTCAAGGCCCAAAACAGAGAGGCAAGAACCAAAGAGATGGGCCATTCAGCTTCGTTCATCAGCACTGATACTTTACTTTCACTGAAAACATAAAAGTTTTCGCTAGGTCTTAAGGAAAACAATGGTTTCCTCCACAATTTAATACAAATTGGCCATTTAGAAGAGATTCAGTTTGGAGGTATATTATTTAAGAACCACGTTTTTCTCCTGTGAAGTTGTGTAAGTGTGAGAACTAATCAGTCCCTACTTCAGGTTTTCTGCCTTTGATAAACTAGATGGTTTATGTGATGAAATAAGTTTGGCCTCTAGTCACAGAGCCTGGAATGCATGGCATAAGGGCTTATTCTCTCGAATCAAGAATGTGGACAATCTAAAGTCATATGACAGCTTCATGACATTAGGAGGACCTCAGGCCTCTTCTCTGTCTTCTCCACCCTTTAGTACTTGGCTTCCATTCTCAGGGTCAAAGATAGCTTTTGGAATTTTAGCTGCCACATGCTCATTCTAGGCAGGAAGGAGGAAGAAGATGGAAAAGGCAAAAGTACACATACATAGGAGAAACACCACTTAACATTTTCTTATGTCTCCTTGACCTCTAGCTTGGAAATATAGTCATTTAGCTAGCATATTTCCACCCAGAATAAAATTATGGTTCTGTTCCTAGGAAAAATGGCTACTAGATTGTAAACTGGTAGTTTCTGTTACGAACATGAAAAGAAGAGATGTCGCTAAGGAGATTTGCTAAGATAATGAAGCATCTAGAAATTAAATGAGAAACAACGAAAGAAACTGGCGGGGGCGGGGGGGTTGTCATAGATAAGAGAAGACTATGGGTGATGTAATAACAGTGTTTAGTTCTTAAAGAGATTCATATGGAAGAAAGTTTATATTTATTTTATGAGATAATTAAAACGAGGTGGGTAGATGGGGAGTTTTTGGGTTTATTTTATTTTTTTTGCTAAATATTGCTAAGGACTTTCTCACAATAGAACTTTGTAAAAAATAGAAGGGTTTGGGTTTTGAGGGTCCCACATTTTCATGATTACATGAAGGTCCATATACTAAGTTGTACATGGGCCATTGCCTCATTATTTCAACTTCTAGGACATAAACCAAGAGTATATTTTCACAACTATCTAAGGTCTCTGAATTCAAGGATCTTACTTCAGTGAGGCAGCGAATAAATAAACCACAGAATACTCTTTTCTCGATGCAGATTTTGGAATTGCAGATGCAAAGTATAATGGAAAAGAAAATGAAAATCAAGAGAAGTAATGCAAAGCTTTGCAAGGAAAACCCATCGTTAATAAGTTTCCTCTGCAAAAACTGCAGTGTGGTCGCCTGCACTGGAGACTATATCCACGTGATTGAGAAAATGCACCATGTCAATATGACACCAGAATTCAAGTAAGTTCAAGGAGAGTCCACTTAAGCTTCTTTATAGGATGTGAAGCAGGTTGTATTGTAAACGTTCTTCCAAAATAGTACAAATTGAATTTATTATTTTCCAGAACTTTTTTCTTTTAACTTCCCCAAATTGTATCTCTATTTCAAATGTCTACTTTTCAAATATACTGCACTGGGGTGGGAGGGAGAAGTGTAATACGTACTTCAAGCCATTTTGACCCAAGGCATATCAGTGTGTGTATGTTCATATTTGTTCTCAAAGTTTTGAACAACTTAAGTCAAGTTAAAATAAGTAGCAGATTGAAAGAAGCCACAAAAGGCAACATGCCCCTGGAGAGGTGGATGTGGAAGGGGCATCTGCCTGAGGATGAGTGTCAAGTTCAACAACATGCACCTATGGGCTGCATAGTGGTCATTTGCAAATTCTCAAGGATGTTTCTTACTTCTTGATAATTTTAGGGAACTCTACATTGTGAGAGAAAACAAAGCACTGCAAAAGAAGTTTGCAGACTATCAAACAAATGGCGAGATCATCTGCAAAACATGTGGCCAGGTGAGTATATAGCTGTGGGTTCATTCCTACTTTGGCCAAAAGGAATTCTTAATTTAATGCAAATTTAATTTTTGTTTTGTTCTCTCTTTTGTTTTCCAGTCTTGGGGAACGATGATGGTGCACAAAGGCTTAGATTTGCCTTGTCTCAAAATAAAGAATTTTGTAGTGTCTTTCAAAAATAATGCAACAAAGAAACAATACAAAAAATGGGTAGAATTACCTATCACATTTCCTGATCTGGACTATTCAGAATATTGTTTGTTTAGTGATGAAGATTGACATTTGGTTGAAGATTCTTTTAAAACATTGTGAACTTAACACTTAACATGATTTTGATTGTTTTTTATTATACTAAAGAACTGATGTAAGAATTTAATAAAATAATTGTTGTACTTTGAAATGAGCTGTATGGAGTAAAACAATATATCATACTTTTCATTATTTATCTTGTTTATGGGCAGGGGTAAAGAAATTCTATCAATAATATTCATTAGTATGGAGCAGTAGGGTGGGGAGTACTGTGGAAAAAATGCAGAGTATAAATGAGGGTCTAAGGTACCAATTTCAGTTCTGTCACGAATTTTCAAAATAAAATAAGCAAATCAGTCATCTTTCTGAACCAGTCTTCTTATTGGTGAAATGGTTGTAACATTGTCTGCCTTTCCTTTTATTAGTTTTCTATTGTTGCATCAAAAATTACCACAAGCTTAGTGGCTCAAAACAATGCCCATTTATTATTGCAGGTGTTGTGTAGCTCAGAGGTCTGAGTAGGGTCTCCTACTCAGGGTCTGAGAAGGTGTCAGCCAGACGATGTTCTCATCTGAACACAGTCAGGGAGAATCACTTCCAAGCTCTTTCAAGTTGTTGGCTGTTGCGTGCTTGCAGCTGTAGAGTGGGATTCCTGTTTCGTTACTAACTGTCCACTGGGAGCACTCTGAGCGAGGGCCTCCCTCACCACCTGGCCCTTTTACAGCACAGCTATTGCTGCTTCAAGGCCAGCAGGAGAATCTCTCTCTCTCTCTCTCTCTCTCTCTCTCTCTCTCTCTCTCTCTCATCTGCTAAGATGAAGTCTTAACTGTAATCACAGGGCTGACTATCTCATCCCATTCCCAGGTCCTGCCCACACCTGAGGTGAGGGGATTGTCCAGGGCATATGTAGCAGTAGGCAGAAATCTTGGAGGCCATCCTAGAATTATGCCTCCTATACCACTTGCCCAGCTTCTG